TGCATGTGAAATGTATGTACTGTTTAAAGGGCATGAATGACTTACAAGCAAGCAAGTATAAATTATGCACGAGTTCCCAATATAATATACCTACCATAGGTGATAATATATTATAATATGTATATTATCTGTGCTTTCRTAATAATTTTTTTAAGAAATATAGTTTTAATAGTCACTCGTAAAAACCTCATACAAAAAAACCAAAGAAATCTTTACTGATKTTTAATATGTTTCGGATATAAATCGTCATTAATAAAATTACTGCAATGAATGTGTTTGATTGTAAATCGTTGTATACAAAAAACGATGCTATACTCTGTTTAACTTAAGAAACGTAGCCAATGGTGACCGATTTTTATTGGATCTCAGCCAGATAACACCCACTTGTCATCCCCCACCCAGTAAATTATCTGTATACCTTCCGAGTGGTGTTGCCTCTGTGCAAAAGTCGGCTGCTGACTACGTTTCTTAACTTGGACAGAATTTAAGTGTTGATTATATCTAATTCTAAATAAATGTATGTTATACTTACTGTGGACACTGGGCTATGATGGCTATGTACACTGATCGCTTCACTCATCAAACTCTCTTCAATATTTTTTTAGGTACTCTGAATAACTCTAAATAAAAAAAAAAAATCTGAATMAAAAATAATGTAAACATTGCTTAACACTTTCAATAAAATTTAATACACACATATAGAAATACAATATTTTAAATCAATTTCCTTTCAAATCTGTTGTCAATTCTGATTCCCACATAATTTTTTTTTTATCGTGAACATCTAATGTATAAYTGACCATATGTATTAGTGTAAATATAGTCTCTTTACATATTAGAACAAATAATCAAACTTTCTCAAAGCCTTATCCCTGTAATTTATTAATAACCGTGGTATATGTAAGCCTCTTTGGGAATTTTAATCTTTTCAAGATGAAAGGAATATCTGAACTTTAACTTATTTCAAGTGTTATGTGCGGAATATGAACAATATTACTCTTCTTGTCTCATGTCAAATATAACCTTGTCGACTTTATTTACTTACTTTTAATCGTGTTCCATTAGACAAATAATCAGAAACACATGCATTTATTAATAACACGACAATGCAATCTGGCTATAGAATAAGTGAATTTGATATAAATTGTTAATGTAGGTATCTCTCTGTGCTAGATAACTTAAAAAAATTTTTTTACAATCAACTCAATCACCTTCAATAAAAGCAGCTGTATCAGTGGATATATCATTTATATTATCACTAGGAAATCTTGATAAAATTGAATCATTCATTTTTTACGTCAAAATTCAGAGCAGMTAACATTTATCCGGTACTCATGGACATATAATTCTTAAGTAATAAATTCCAACTGATACAACTTATCAATCAAATTTAATCATTACAAAGCAAATCTTCAAACTTATTAAAGTTAGTCTTGAATTTATTATAATCAACAAATAAAATTTAATTTCTCTTGGCCATTATATTTTTTATTAGATTACATTTTTAAAACAAAATAAATGCTAAGGTTTACTATTTTTGAACATAACTCGTTAATTTTAGAKATTTGTTAAAACAGATTGTAAATTTTCTTATAAAAAAAAAAGTTGAAAGTAGACGACTTTCTTTAAAACTAGAAACACTTGTTCTAAATCTCACACTAAGATAAATAATGTTTTACTAGCAAATAACAATTTCAAATCAAATATATCCGGTATCGGTATACAATTATTGAGTGTCATTAATCTTTAAGGTATTATTACATCATGATATCACCTTCATTCCATATAAATATATCTGTATTTGCTTAATTTGTTTTCATATTATTTGGAAAATTAACTTTTTTATAGTATCGTTTAAAATAACAGCAATACCAATTCAGGCCATATTTGCGATTTTTAAGCTAATTTTTGCTTTAAACATTACATAAGTAAATATCACCTTAAATTCAATAGTAACATATCGCAGTACCTATAATGGTGAATTAGTGTAAATAAGATTGTGATATAAATAAAATAAAATATGTATAATATTGTATTTTGTAAATTTATTCGTTTTTATGGTAGCAAGTAACTTAAAAAATGTATAAAAAAATAAATATTTTTCGCTCATATTTTAATATTTTAATTTTAAATATGACTAAATGAGATATTTTTTAGATAATCTATTTGACCGAGAAACAAACATGTTATTACGGTAAATAATGCGTCGTCATTAATTTATAAAMTTCAAATATCTTTGAATAGCTCAAAAACTAAAATATCTTATGATGTTAAAAATGGCATCATATGAATTTGATGTTTATTTTAGATGTCTATTGTTTATTTTTTTATGATTCACAATTTAAAAATACAAAATCTTGTGTCAAGTAAATAAATCCCGAATCTCCCATTTGTTATTCCTTTTATAAAATAAATGTAATGATATTTTTATTATTCAAGTTACCAATCAGATTAAAATATCTACCTGAGACCCCCTTTGAAATAACAAAATGTATGTTTTGGTAWTGTTTCATAGAGTGATAATAGCCACAAAAAACAGACATCATTGTAAACCTAATACATTCCTTTCTTCTCTCAGAATCTAAAACAATTATAATACCATTAGATTAACTAATGAATGATGATCAACTAAAATATTTTTTTGTTTCAACCAGATTAAGGGTACGGCCACACTGAGCGCGATTTGCGATGCAAGCGATTTGTTTAGCGATTTAAAGATTTTTTCAAAACTGTAGAGTTACTATGATATTGCCGCACTGGGAACGTTTCGCATTTTGCGTTTTACAATAAATCGCTTTTAACGCAAATAAATCAAAATTTTTTGTTTYYTTGCGATTAATCGCTTTGTAACARTTGTAAAATTACCATKTCCGATTTTTGTATTCATTCTCGAATAGCATCGAGTATCAAATTGAAGGTGTTTTCGTCCATACGGCAGTATTCAAAAAATTTATCCGAGTGTTTTTGGARTTTATTAAAAAGAGTATGAAATTCACCTTCAATTTCTCAATGTTTATTTATTTCATGTAGGTACCCATAATCTTTGTTTAAATAAATCAACTTTAGCTTCTAATGAAGCAAAACATTCAAATAAAAGTATTTTACGTACACGATTCGATTTGTATGAAATCATCTCKATGACTTGTGACAAATAAGAAACAACTAGTGACTATATTATTATGTAAAACAACCTACTTTGATATAAAAAGGCGGGAGTGGCCACACCAACAATGTAAAAATCGCTACTACAAATCGCTAATTGAATTAGACATCAAAATTTAAACTATTAACAGTAAGAAATGATAACATACTAAATTTACACTTTGTTATCGATAAATAATGTACCTAACTAAAATATACATACATTATTTTAATGCATCTACATTAAACATAAAATAAGACATTACAGAAGATTTGTACAAAAACATWTTTTTTTCTATAAGAATTTTTGTCAAAACACTAGGTATGCTTAAAACATTATCCTTATAATAATTATACAACTGGAAATTATATCTTAAAATCTTGAAGAATAAAATTAGTGATAGTTATTATGAAAGCAAGATTAGGTTAGGTTCACTTTTACAAACTGAAMATTTTTGGTTTGTTTTGACTTTCAACAAAAACTGCATTCAAAATTCAATTACCTAATGATTAAAAACTCGTGATTTTAAACAAATAAATAAATTATTACTATCATACTGTAATTAATAATTGGACAATATTTATAACCTGAAAATTAAATGATTAGGCAACTGCATAATTTTTAATCGTAATTTTAGTTATACATTTAGGGTAATAGAGTTTACTTATTTACTGATAAACATTTACATTTACGACGTTACAATTGTTTTACTTCTATATTCAAACTGAATWTAGTGTTTTTGAATCRTATAGAGCTATTTAAGCATCAATATTTTATTTATTTTAACTAAAAACAAAAATATTTTACTAACTATGTGAACGTTAGTGTAATGGGTTTAATATCGCAATCGAWAAATATTATTTAAGTATCTACACATTTTAATATACATGCAGCTACCAAACAGATAATTAACATTAATATATACCAATATAATTGTACTTAATATACGTTAATGAAATTATATAAATTAATCAGTGCATTTTAAAACCATTCAGACCATATCAACATTTTTTTTTTTATTAGCTTTTAGTTTTACTATTATACCTCAACAATCATATGAAATTATGAAAATGTATCTACACTTATCAGAAAATACATGATAATATATAATTGGAAAATTCAGTACAGTATATTAATTATTTTCCTTAGAAAATCATATTCTTATCGAATTAGAAAACACACCTAGGTATTTGGAAAATGAAAATTATGTAAATGATTGAACCACAAACCCTGTTTATGATGCTATGAATGATTAAGCATATTCTAATAGCGTTAAAGGGATATTCAATTTTGGGGTTCTGAAGGTATAATTAAAAACTAAGCTCTGGTAATAATCATTTTTTATCATTGTTATATACATACTAGTCAATTCAATAATTTAATCAACACAACAAGTCTCCACAATAAAATAAGCWTTAATATTTTTAATAATTGTATACAGGTAAAATTCTTGTTTTCAACATTTTATTAGTAGGTACATCCATACGTTTTTTTTAAATAAATTAATCGATACAGAAAATAAAAAAAGACACAATATGTAGACAAATTACAAGTATTTATAAGAAATTATCCAATATATGACCATAATTTAAAAATCTCTACTGCAAAATATTAAGCCATTSAACAAAGTCTTGTAAGGTGAATAGTTCTTAAATTTTTAAATGTTTACGATATTTTAAATTAATTTGTATGGTTACACGGTTTAGATTTAAAATTTAGATACTGTCATAACATATTTTTTATTCTGTAAATATATTGTTATTTACCTGATTATTATATACTTCCAAATTAAACTTTACATTAACGGAAATTTCTAATTAGTTACATAACTTATTTCAAAGTTCGCTTAATTTCCTAGTGTAACGTGAGTTGGGCCGATTGAGAATCAATGTATAGGTAATTCATTAAAGTTTTTCGGGGTTTTTTGAATTATAATTTGAACTATAGTTAGAAAGCTTCAAATAKTAAGTTAAAATTATATGTTATAGTCGATTATTTTATTATTACTGTACATTATGAGAAATAAAATTATACACAATGTAGAATTCTGCGTTAATTTCAGAGAAACATTGTCTGTAGAATATATACAGTCAAGTTGCAATAACTCGTACCTCGATAAATCGAAAAACTCGACAACTCGATATTTTTTTATTCCCCTAGAAAATTATTCTCCTATTAATTAGTTAGATATCACGAATAATACATATCTTGAAGCGAAATTTTATCCCACTTCAGCTTCGAGTTATCGCGACTCGACTGTAGTTAAAAATGATTATAAACAATTTTACTAATAATATGTATCTAAAGACCAATTGAACCACTGAAACGCGAAAACACAGTTAAACTTGTTTGGACTAATATTACCAAATATAAATAAMAAATTATGTAATGATAGCCACTCCTCACAACTAGGTAATACTAAAAAGAGTGTCATCATCATGTCCCTCAACATAATATATTATATTATAATATGGTATT